ATTAAAATCATTAGAGGTGAACAAGAGTGAGCAATTATTGTCTTTTGTGAATTGGTGAACAGAAAGGAGATTGGTTTTAATAGAAGGGACGTGGGTAAGGTTACCTAGGTGAAAGATAGCGGTGGGGGTTTTAATGGTACCCGTGCCAGTGTGAGAAATATTTAGGGACTCCCCGTTGCCAACAGTAATACCATTGGAGCCATGATATGGATTTGAAGCGTTAAACTTGGATAGATCAGAAGTAACGTGCATGTTGGCCCCAGTATCCAACAGTCATTTAGAGGAAGGGCCGGCTTGAGATGCATAATTGGCACGGTTATCACTATTTCGTCTCTCCTCATACCGAAACCAGCAACGAACAGCGGTGTGTCTTGTTTTCTGACAGATTTGACAAGTTGGACGATCCCGCTCGTAAGTGCCCTGCCCGCCGCTGGAAGATGACTGGCCACCGCTGCCGAAGGAGTGCAGGCTGTTGTTGCTGCCGTGCTGCTGACCGTCGTACGGCGGACGACTGCCCTGCCGACCGCCGCGCCCGCGGCCTCCGCTGTTTCTGTCGTAGCCGCCGCGGCTCCCCTGCTGGCCGCCACCACGCCCCCCGCAATAGTTTTGGCTTTCAGTGAGGGCGGTGGCCGGCTCCATAACAGCGGCTTCTCGCAGAATAATTTTGCTCTCCAGATCCACGTTGATTTCTTCACTTTTTAGCCACGAGGGTCAACGGGCATTGGACTGATGCGAACCGCCTATTTAATGGAGGAGTAAGCTGATGGGAGCCCCCGAACGACGCACATGACGAGATCTTTTTCGGGAATGATTTCGTTCACGGTGTCGAGGGCTGTGATGATGGTGGAGACCTCGTCTAAATACTCCTCCATACTTTTCGTGCCTTTGGTAATTGTGTGGAGACGATCACGCAATTGAAAAATATGAGAGTGGGAAATTGATGCATAGCGTGTTGCGAGGGCCGTCCATAGGGCTGAAGCAGTTGTGTAGGATCGAACGTGTTTCTGTACCGTGGGAGAGATGACCGCAATCAAACATGATCGGATCTGGCCATCCACAGCTTTCCAGGCAGCATGGGCCGGATTGGTTTTTTCTGATTTGTCCGTGGCTGTGATGACTGCCGGCGGCGGTTCTGTGCTTCCATCGACGTATTTGAGAAGGTAATTGGCCTCAAGGGCTGTAAGAACGGTGATTTTCCATGTAGGGTAATTTATGTCTGATAATTTTTTGGGAATCAGGGCATGAAGATGTCTGAGAAGGAGTTTAACGCCAGAAGGAAGTGAATCGAGAGGATCCAGCTCGGTTGTCATGGCTGCCGCCGCCCAAGAGAAGAGAGGGAACAATCGGTGCCCTAAAGAGAGAAAAAAAACCTAGAGAAAAGAAGATCTAGGTTTTCTGGCTCTTGATACCATGAAGGAATATTGATTGTATTTAAGTGTTAAGGGAATACATGGGAGATATATATAGGAGATATAGGAAGGAGTACTAATCCTAATATGACTAGGATTAAGGAGTACTAATCCTAATAGGACTGGGATTAGTACACAGTAAATACTAATATTATTTTATACTATTTATTTAATACTATCTGTTATTAATATCCAATAGCCCATCCATCCAATTCCTTCATTACGGCCCACTTTTCTAGGCATGAATTATTTTTTATCAGTGAAGAGAAAAAAGAACAATTCAAGTTGTAAACTTTTGCAAAATCGAGTGAAAAATAAATATAGTATCGTATTTTCTCTGTATTTTTTTTACCATTAATTGAAGTTTAATTCTTTTAATTTTTTCGTCTTCCAACCCTATCTTCCTCTTCATATATGAAAATTTAAGAAATTATATCAAACCCTGTTAATTCTCAATAAGCTTCACCTGCTAAAATTTTTAGCTTTGTATAGGCTAGAGAATTCTCCTGGGTTGCAATTGTCAAAGGATCATCAACTTCCATTTCTTTTCATAGTTATTACCCTGTCATGAGAGCAATGGAGAGGGTTCGGAGAAGTAATTTCACGAAAGGTGTCTAGAAATTGTTATTGAATTTTTTAAAATATAATATTATCTAAAATATTACTAAAAAATTATGTTAAATAATTTTATAAAATTTCAAAAAAATATATTATCATTGATAAAATAATATTAATAATGACTTACTTTGGTCAACAATCTCAACCCCGAAAGTTTTAAAATTTCAATGATGAAAGCAAATTTAATACAACTATTAAATGGTATCTTGAAATGGGACTTGGGATGCTTTCTACTTTTGTTTGTATTATCACTTAATATCAAAGAACCCTTTCATTTCCCTGGATGAATGAATTTAGTTAATTAAATCATTCATTGTAACTTACCATTTAAATTGATTATTTAATTGTCTTTTTAATAAATAACTTACTATTCAAAAATTAATTAAGATATTACTATTTAGTAATAATCAATTGAACAAATATTTAATTTGATTATATATATATATTATCTTGTTTCAAGCTTGTATGTATATGTCAGCTTGACAGTTTGATTCGGATAAGATTTTTCACATCATTGCCATTTCTAATTTAATGTTTGTTAATACATCATGTATTTGGCACTACATTAATTAAAGACATCGTCGTTATTGTATTGATGTCAACAAGATGATAATTGAATACAATACAATTAAAAAAAGATTTTTTTGCCTTCACCAAACGTTGATAAGTGTATACTAGGTCTTTAAGCTTAAGCTATCTAATGGAATTTCAATTTCCATCCAATTTAATTTTCTTATTCCTTTTCCTATCATTCCTCTATTTACTAGTTGTGCAATGGAAAAAATCAAGAAACTTAAACAAGAAACTTCCTCCAGGCCTATGGAAATTGCCCTTTATAGGAAGTGCTCATCACTTGGCATTAGAAGGTGGACTTCCTCATCATGCACTCACAAATTTAGGCAAAAATCATGGACCTTTCATGCATCTTCAATTAGGCAAAATTTCTACCATCATAGTTTTTTCTATGGATATGGCACGAGAGATACTGAAAACTCATGATCTTGCTTTTACATCGAGGCCTAAAATATTAGCCCTCGACATAATATGTTACAAGAGCACTGACATTGCGTTTAGTCCTTATGGAGATTACTGGAGACAGATGCGCAAAGTATGTGTGTTGGAATTTCTCACTACCAAGAACGTACGATCCTTTAGTTCTATCAGACAGGATGAGGCTTCACACCTTGTGCAATTCATCCGGTCATCAACATGTGGCGAGCTTAAAAAGATGTAATCAATCATGTTTGAAAGAAAGAGTGACAACACTGGAATGCAATAGAAAAAAATCCTTAAATGCATAAATACTTCATTAATTATCTTTGATCTCGAGTATTATTACATGACAAGTGATTTATTAAGACTTAATCAAAGAGACTATAACATTTGTGAAAATATTCTTCTCTTTGGCCATAGTATTGCCATAAATTTCTCTACACTTATTAAACACAACATCCATCAATTTATTATCATCACCAAAATGCCTAACAAGTAAAGGTTGAGCAAAAGCTCTTACACTCTGTGCCTCATTGTAACCTTCACAACTAGAATCCATCTGGTGTTCTAAAGTTCTCAAAAGGTCAATAGTGAAAGATCCCTCCTTTTCAACTACATACTGTATTTCTGCGGGAGATGGAGAGTACGTTGGAACGTTGAACGAATCCATTTTCTCTTCTTCTATTGATCCCTGGTATTTAATTTATAGTCGGAAGAACATCATGACATGTTTAAAATTACAAACATAAGTACTAATTTGATTTTACGTACCTCTGTAACCAAGTTTTTGAGCGCGATGGCCAAAGGCTCCAACATAAAGCGACACACATTGCTTAAGTGATGCTCATTTTCTTTACCAGGCATGGCTAATACCATACGTCCACCTTTCACCAATTCTTCTGCACGATACTTGAGAAAAGTCGCGAAATCTCTTTTATATTGCTTGGAATATGCTTTGAGGACGCTTGATGGGCTTGTACTTGATGCATAAATAGTCCCTTTGTTATTCTCAATTCCATCAGGCACCTATATACAATCCAAAACGTACCTAGAGTCAGCTACCTGAAATAAGTACCACATCATTTTCTTTCTAAATTAAATATGATAACAACACACACATATATATATCTAATACCAGTCTAATTTCACAAGTAGAATTCGAGGAGGGACTTTATAAGTAAAAATGCATTTAGTGCTTAAACTTGGAATCTCAGTTAGTTTATTTATATAATGTAATCAAAAATCTATAATGTGTTTGCGTGAAACAACATACCTAGGTGTGACAATTGGGTGGGTTGGGTTGAGTTGGGTTAAATTTAGATGGGTCATAATAAATTAAGATAATAACTAGGTCAAGACCCGACTCAACCCATTTTTTACTAACTTTGTTTTATTTGTCATTCTATGTCAACATAAACATCACAATTAATTCTAACAAAATGAGTTTATATTTTGATAATTCGCTTAATATGTTCGTATTTTAATAGATTGTATTAGTAATTTTTTATAGATAAAATTATATAATTAAGCTAATATTCAATAATTAATTATGTTATATGACTATAGTTTTATATGAGCTGATACTCATATTTAACCCTAATAATATGGACAAAATATAAACGAAATATGGATTAACCAAGCTTTCAATTTTTATTCGCCAAAAATTCATGATATCAGTAAAAATATTACAACTTTTCTTTGTTTTTATGTTGTTGTATAGAATTAATTATTCTTCTCTATAATTGAAAATGTGAAGTCTTTGACCTCCTAAAAATGTATATATTTCTTTTGTTAATTATATTTATGTTATTTTTATATTGGGTAACAACTAATAGCGTAAAATGATGTATAATATTGACATTGGTAAAAGTGCATTAAACGTGCAAATATTTACTTTTGACATTAAACATATTTATTTATTTGTTGCTGTATTTCTGGGTTTGTTCGCTGGATATTGCTGTTGTTCTTCGCGTAGGGGAGAAGAAGAAGCGAAATGGGGTTGGGTCGGGTCGGGTCGGTTTGATCTGTGTATCTATTTTTGTTGTATGTCTTGTATTGTGGGCGCTGAAAAGGGGATTTGTCTAGGCTGATTGTGGGTTGCTGCTGCGTGTTGTGTTGATAAAACATGTGCTATCTCTCCAGTAGGCTATTAATGACCGAAGTGAACTCCTGCAACTTGTTGCTATGCTTGTAATCTGAATTTGAATTCTTCCATATCTCGTATTCACTTATCATGATGTTGGCTAGTCATGACCAAAAAAGGTGTTTGATCAATTGATAAACAAAATTTCCCTTCCTTGATGTTGTGTTGTTGTGAAATATTCACTTATGCATTATGCCTATAATAATAATCAATTCATTTTACTAAACCAACAAGACAATAAAGATATTATATCAATTAGCGCCAAGGGGCTAACACACATACATACATACATAAAAATAACATAGCCAAACATTGGTTTGTGATGAATGAAGCAAAGCAAAATAAGAAATTCCTTTTATCCAAGTATGGGAGTGGAGGAAAAAATGTGAAGGTGTTTCTCGAATTCAGTCATGTCTTTCTCCTTCAAACAAATTGTTAGTTGTACTCCATTACCATCTTTTGTGTCCATCAGAATAATAGCTCCTTCAATAAGATTGACGCCAACGGGGCTGACCCAAAATGGTTTTCCCCAACCAAAGTCAGCTTCATACCAAGGAAATTTGCACCATCTAGTGGTGACATAAACGTCCATCTTGTCTCCTTGGAGAAGTTTTTCTACACCTTTTATGTGATTGTTAAATGCTAGAGAGGAAATGTCATCAACGCTTTCCGCCTTACCAATGGCTTCACATGTGTCCCGTATTGTATTTCCTACCAACTTTACAAAATCATTCAACTCAATATCCTTTCTTCTTGCCTTCCTATCAGCAATTCCCAACATTACATAGTTCCCTAGAGCATGTTCTAAAGAGGGTGCAGTAGATGACAGTTTTCCCCTCATATTAATAGGAAATCCTAAAGACGAGTCCCTTGAATTTCCATAATTTTGGCGGAAGAAATGTGTGTAAGAACCTTCCACATTAGAGACATAATGACCACCACTCTAGAAGGTTGCTTCATCATCATATCATTGTCTTTGATTGTTTTTCTGAGGTTTTCTATTGCCAAAGCATCAAAGACAAACCTCCTTGTGACAATCTTATAATTAGGGCCAGTTGTAGTAGTGTTAGCGTTGAGATCAGGTGATGGAGATGGAAACTGTAGCACTTTTGCTGGGAAGAGCAATGACAATTGACCAAAACCGGGATTATTACTGATGGTCCGGCCTGTAAGGCAAGTGTGCGCCCATTCATTTACAAATGTTGCCATAGTGAAAGCATCAGCTACGATATGTGAAATTTGTATCCCAATGGTTACTCCTCCGTTATTAAATACATTCACTTGGACACCAAATAACGGACTTGATGGCGATAATGGCTCGACATCTTTTATTGGAAGAAGATCAATCAAAGACGACTCAATATCATAATGGGCTTGACCACGGAGATATTGGGCAAGATCGTCTGCATTGACTTTTGTTTGAACATATTCAACACCTTCATCATTGCACTCGATGGAGAATGGATCAATATCTTTTCTAAATCTTCCGGCAAAAGGGTAAAACTTGGTTAGCGTCTCGGCCAATGATTTTTCAAGCTTATCATCATCATATGATGTTGAACTGCTGCTCGGCAAGTAGTTGAAGAGAATCGGTATATATATACGAAGAGCCAGCTCATCAAACAAGGAAAGCTTCAGCCTCCGTAGATTATCCGGGTAGAAGCTGAGGGTTTCAACAATTTCCTTGATTGAATTTCAATATCTAACCTGCAGGCCATTACGATTTTAGTTTAATAAACAAATGAGGAAGTTTAATTTGAGTAGTATTACTTTTTTTTTTTGCTACTATATATATATATACATACATACGCTTGGCAGGCCATTAGTTTCAACTCTACAGACAGCTCACAACTAATTTTTAACAAACACATGGCATGGAAATTGGATTAAACAATTTAGGGATAAGCCACGAAAATATAAAAGTAATCAAAATAAGTCACTATTTTAGTAAGTAACTAAAATAAGCTTAGTGGAAGAAAACGTTCGACTATATCCAATAATTTAAATGTTTTCCGTTAGTTTCATAACGTTTATTTTTAACATATAACAGAACTTTTTCTTACACTATATAAAGTGAAACTTTTTATTCCATTTTATAAGTGGAACTTTTTATTCCACTTTTTAAAGTGGAACTTTTTATTACACTTTATAAGAAGAATATTTTTCACGTCTTGGAGAAGCTTTTTCAGTGTTGTCATATAAATTATATTGATTTGATATGTCATTAAAACGAAAAAAAATATTTCATTATGTATTTTATTATTTTATTCTTAAAAATATATTTAAGGACGTTTATGCATAGTTGATAGCACCTACAACATAAAGTCTTCTATATTTGTTCATTTCAATCTAAAAAAAATATCTTCTACACCTAAAGTTAAAGTTTCAATTTATTAGGATGGCGAAATTATACATGACGGAAATATCATTTATTATAATTGTCCTCCCAAACACAATGCTAAATATCCAATAAATGTCCGATATCATAAATTTATTTCATCAATTTATAAAAGAATGGGTATAAACAGTATGATTATAATTTGATTATAACTGGAAAATACCCTACTTCTTTTTTATCACAATGACAAGTAAATTTTAGAGAGTGAATTATATATAATGACGAATGGTTGACCGACATTTTAAGGGTTCCAAATGACTATATAGATCAAATCAAGTCAACAATACTTGGAATCTATGTTAGGAAGGAGCCTAAGATTAGTCAACAACGTTCTCCTTTATCGGTCGATGTTCATCCATAATTAGAAAATCATAATAGCATTGATGGATTTTCGATAACTCAATCTACTGATTTTCCTAAAATGACTCATTATGAAAGTACTCTTACCGGCCGATATGATTTTGATTTAAACAGAACTATCAATGCTAGTGATCGGTAATGCTCAACTATTATATTTCAATTATTGTTTGTTGATTTTGTCAATTATTTATTAATTTACATTATTTATTATTCTTATTATTTTATATTTTGTAGCGGTTTACCTCAGCAAGATAGGAATATTGCTCCAAGTTATGGACTAAATAATTATTTTGGTCAGTCCTCACACTTTGAAATGATGGAAAATGTTGGGACATCCTCAAATTTTTATGTCTCGCCTACTTTTGATGCAGATGATTATCGCTATGTCTAACACTTATTTTTTTAAGTGAATTTTTGATGCAGATGACCATCTCCAAAGTGATTTTTTTTTGGAAGCCATGAAAAGAAAAAGGAGAGAAGGTGAAGGTGAAGATGAAAATGTAACTTTTTATAAAGTGGAAGAAAAAGTTCCGTTATATATTAAAAATAAACGTTATGACAGTAATGGAAAACGTTTAGAAAATTGGATATAGTGAAACTTTTTCTACCACTAAGATTATTTTAGTTGCTTACTAAAATAGTGGCTTATTTTAGTTACTTTTATATTTTTGTGGCTTATTTTTGTTCCCAACTCTTCGCAAAAGGGGCGTACATAGTCAGGTTGGTTTGAATTTTTCAAATATCAAACCAAACCATTTGTGTCGGATTTTTAAATCTATAAACCAAACAAAACCAAGAAAATTTGAATTTTTCAACCTCGGGTTTTTTCGCCAAAGTATTCATATAAATATATAATTTACTTGTACTTCAAATATTTCTTTAGTCATATCAAAATACAATTATCTAAGGTGTTTTTTCAAGAATATAACACAAATAATGATATGATTAATGACACCAAATAATAATAATAATAATAATAACAATACTACTACTACTACTACTACTACTACTACTACTAATAATAATAATAATAATAATAATAATGAAATCGCTTAAAACAAACATTGCACTAACAAGTCATAATGAAAATGATCATAAATTAAAAGTAATGAATCATGCTAAAATAAGTATTAGTTACATGATAAAATATTAAAGAAAATTAAAATTAGATTATGTATTTAAATTGTATAAATCAATGTAAAACAAAACCAACACAAGCAAATATTTTTATGTATAAAATAAAATTTAAAATTATATATATAATGTCGAGTTGGTTTGATCTCGAGTTGACTTTTTTTTTAGTTACAACCAAACCAACCCAAGTATAGTCAGGATTTTTTTTCAATACCAAACCAAGTCAAATCAACCACTAATCGAATTTTCTCAATTTGACTCGATTTATAATTTGATTTGAATTTTGGTTCGATTTTAAACACGGGTTGACTCAAGATTGAGGGCATAAAGCCCAAATCTTAAAGAGGGCCATAATATTTTTTTTTAAGGAAAAATAACTTAAATACACAACTATAAGTTTAGTATTCTCTAATTTTCCCTTCTTTTTTAAAATATTACATAATTTCCTTTTTTTTATTTTAGTAGAAGTTTAGAGATACATAGCCTTCTCTCTCCTATAATACACACTTCCCCAATATGATGTCTATTTTTTCTCCACTAAAACACTCAATCTTGTAAATCACTTTTTGAATTTTGAATTATTAATTTTAATTAAAAACGTTTCACAACATTTAATATGAAAATTTGAATTTCAAAAATCAAAAAATTTGAAATTTCTGAAAATTGCTATATTACATCAGTCGTCTCTAGGTCTTCTTTTTCTTCTTACTCCATCATCCGTTCTTTTTTTCTTTTTTTTCATTGTTCTATTACATCATATTAATGGATCCTTTTACTAATAGAAGGATTTATGATTTGGACGATGAAAATTGGAAAGAAAATAGAAAAAAATCTTTGCATGATCCTATGAATGTTCGTAAAGATTCAAACAAAGATTTTGGCGAATCATCTAAATCAAAGGTTGACAAAATACACCAAAAAAAAAAAGAGAAAAGAAGCAGCAACCGTTGTTGTTGAAATTAGTAAAAATTTTAGTAAAGGAATCCCATATGTATCATGAATTTTTGAAAATTGTTATCATGTGTCAGACAATAAGTTTAATACATAAGTACTCAGTGTGTTATAGTGTGTTAGTCGATGCATTGATACATGAATTAGATGTGTATCATATGATTTCCTATGTATCAAGAGTTTTTGAAAATTTTTATCATGTATCAGTCAATAAGTTTAATAACTGCGTCATCAAGTGTGCTTGCTGATACATATCGACTCAGTGTGTTATAGTGTTTAGACGATGCATTGATACATGAATTTGATGTGTATCATATGATTTTCTATGTATCACGAGTTTTTGAAAACTGTTATCATGTATCAGTCAATAAGTTTAATAACTAGATGTTCATAAAAATGTCTTCAAACTAGATGATTTAATCTTCAATTTTCAAAATTTGAAATTGTTATCCAATTATGTGCTGAATTAATGCTTTTTAATGAATTGTTACCGTAATTTAAGCTGATTTAGATAACAAATTTAAATGTTCCGTTTCCCCCCCTTTTAATCTTAACAGTTTTAAGTTATTGTGTATCATTTACCATGTATCACAACATACTAATGTATCACGTCACAACAATTTTAAGGGATTATTAGTAAATACTAAATTTGTCGGGACAGAATGTAATTATTGTATTGCACTATGAGATTCCTTAAATTTATAATTTTTTTAATCCACATTTTATTATTTGAGTTTTTAATCCACATTTTATAAAAATTGTTCAATGATTAACAACTTTGATCTCCCAAGCACATGCACATGCACATGCACTTTCTCAAGTAATTGAATTATTTATCTATTTGTTCAAAGTGCGTCAAAGTAATTAAATTATTTATCTATTTCTTCAAAGTAGAAATCCTTTGAGTAAAATCTTGATAAGTCATTGACCTTAACTTTTATTATATTTTTTTAGGAGTCGTGATGGATAATGAAAGTTAATCCCGAAATAAATTTTAAGTACCCTTTTATTTTCTTGTTTGGTTGCAAAGCTTGAGATAACTCATTCCCAAATTAAGAGTGATTGAATCAAAAATAAAAGAAAAATGACTTATTTTTTTATGATTGATCGAAGGGAAATCAAATTTCCAAAAAAGTTCGCCAATAAATAGGGCTTTTGCCCAGTTATAATACATCACAAAAACTGGAATTTTAGGAGGGCTTTTGACCCATTTTCGTGATTGTATACAGTGTATATGTATGTTGTATATTTCGCGTGTACTGCTGTATACGGAGTGTATACAATCTTTAATTTCACTCTGAATACTTGCATTTTCCGTTTTCCAGCGCTGTACTTCGATTTTGACTCGAAAAGAATAATATTGAAACTCCTGCTCAATATTAAATTGAAAGAGTCCAACGGACTCATTCAAGGGTTTATGGCAGAAAACAAAGAGAGCGTAATTCACAAGTGACTAAAGGAAAATTGATTTAAATAATAATTGACGATCAAATTAAAGAACGGACATTTGAGCACAAATAGGTTACTGTCCATGCCCATGCACTAAGACTTGAAGAAATCATGTAATAAAAAATGGAACACGGTAATTCAACAGAACAAGTCATGACATTAATGGATCATTTTCATATGCTTTTTATAGAACAAAGAATGCTATCGCTTTATCAAACAAACCAGAATCAATGGAAGAATATCACCTAGACTCGGCCAAATCATGAAATCGAATAGGAACATCGAAACATCATTAGCTTAATAGTAACTAACAACAAACAACATGATATATTATCTGTTCGCACTCTCCTTGTATTTGATATTCAAGATATATGTATTTAATATCTCAAATACATGATATATATTTAATGCGATTTATATGTATAT